CCTCATGTGCCTGTGGCGACATCTCCGGCGTGATCTAACACCGCCAACGTGCGACAACAGAGATCCTAGCGTGTTTCAAGAGCGGCCTTGCTTTTGACGGGAGTCTCTGCTATGTGCTAGACGCACGCGAGGGCCACGCTTACATAGCACCAATGATCATGGGGGATCCGTAGCATGGGCCAGGATCTTACCGAGTTGGGCAGGTCGGGGCGTCATCAAACAATGAAACGCTTGAAGCCTTTAATAATTTAGCGAGATTCCGGCTGCTGTTGAGGTCTAGAATTCGACAAAGAGGAGTGTAATATCAAGTACAAGGAGGTCTTTGTGCCTAACAAGATGCTGGCCCGGCCACTTGTCGATCACCGTTGGGTTTGTCCATCACCGCCGATTCAGTTGTCGATGGCCGCTAAGGTCGCATTTTTGACATCGCCGCCCTGCCAAGACGCGGGAGTACCTAGCGACAGGTGGAGAAACGTGCCTTGCAGCTTTTTTAAATTTTGTCCCGGTGCTGAGATAATGAGTGACGAGTCGACAGGGTTCGCTTGGTCTTTGCCCTCCCCTTACTTTCGGTTGCCTCTCCAGCTTTGACTGTCATCCCCTGCCTAACGCCTCGGCTAGGAGCAATTACCTAACCCCCAAGGCTCTGTGCCTGGCCACGCCTTCGGATTGTGCCGTTGCTCTGCCCCCTCCGGCCCTCCAGCCGCGGAGTTGGCGCTGCAGGGGTCAGTCCGCTTCAATCTCAAACACGCCATCGAATTTACTGTGTACGCCGCCCCAGGGCTTGCTTTTTCGGGGCCCTAACATAAGTTTCTCAGCGCGAAGATAGCCAGCCGGTCAATAACCGCCCGCTGAATTCATTCCATGTGGGCTTATGTATGGTGAAACAAAGCACGTAGTCCGTTCAGTTGGCGTATCTACAAGAACAATAAGCCTCATACAATGAGGAAGACATGCAAAAGTCAAAACACTGGGTCAAGACACGTAGAACGAGTCTAGACGCCGTGATGTTGGGCATCCTGGCGGATAACAAGGGCTACCCCTGACGCTAGACGGGTGGAATGTTGGAGAGATCAGCGCATCTATGAAACCGTTATGCACCTCAGCCAGCGCAATGCGCGTAAAATCACCACAGGGCCGGCCGACCAGTCCATCGGGAGGTCGAAAATCGAAAAGTGGATTATTCAATGTCCGGCCTCAACCCTAAACTAGCCGGATGGATCACGAGGAGCCAGCTAAGACATTGTAAGACATTGTTCCGATGCGGTTTATCGCTCATTGACATGACTCTTGTCAAGTTGGCCTTGTGTTGCCACTCTGGTTTCATGAACGTAAGCCTGATGCCTTCATTGGGCGCCTGCCGGGATGCAAGGTCCAGTGTCTCATTTGCCGACCATGCTGTAATATCTAGATTAAGGTGCACAAATCGGAGTTAATACATGTGTTAGGCGAACCGCACTCACTTAGATATACGCCAGACCAGAATCGAATAGAATCGTGAACATAATCAGATCCTCTTGTTTCACGATCCCGGATGGACAGTCTATCGGATCTTCATTTTCTTCGCTTTCAAGACACTACCCATCGTGATACGCCGTGTTCCCCTCGCCCTGACTTGCATTTTTTGCAGGCAGGAATAGTATTGAGACTATTATGGTCACCGGTCACCAAGGTTCCATTATATCTGAGACTCGTCTACTGTAGTCAAATCTCAACAAACCACCATTCAAGGATCCGGGGATCGGAGTGCATCTTCCATGCATTATTACCCGCTTCTCGCTTCTAACTAATAAGCCGAGACAATGCGCGTATCAATCCATCGTAATATCATTGATTACATATTCAAGCATTATGTTATAATTACCGAATGCTCCCGAAAATCGAGATTGATACTTGAATCTCGAAGGTACCTCCTACCCTACACTACTTGCATTTGATATTGAACTTTTCCTGCTTCGCTGAGGTACATTGAAACGCATTTTATAGAAATATTTTTGTCCGTAGTACCATATTCGAGCTTAATCATCATATTAGAATATCAGTTGCGATATTAATATGTGATATGGATGTACTCGAACGGCGAGGGAGTCGGGAGCAAAAAATTTGCCTTTTCCCCTTATGAAATCTTAACAACGTCACCAAACTTGAAGTTATATGAACAGATATAGCCCAACAAGAAGAAAGAATTAAATCTTTTTTTTTTTTAAATAAAAAAGTTTAATTTTTGCCTATTATTGCAGTTAAGTTATTATTGCTGACCAAAGCATACTAGGCCCATAAACTTGTTGAGGTCGCGTCAATGTTATTGTGTTTTACTCCAGCTGCTTAAATTACGCAGCGATTGCCCCTGTCGCGAAACTGGTTAATTATTAGCCCGTATTGCTACCCCTATTTCGCTCTTTCATGTCATAATAGACGCATACATGCTCGACGCTCGAGAATTCAACCTTTTAAGGTCTCCGATTTGGGCAACGATAAAGACGACCCAATGGCAACAAGCCAAATGACTGGGAAGCCGGGCTGTTGGAGAAATTCCCAATGCGTGGTGACAGGTAGTGAGGGCGGCAATGAATTGCGATGAAGAGAAAAATGGCCGCGATCAATGACAATCAATCGGAGAGCTGATTTACTCATGACGACCGTGGGCAGTGAGCCAAGGTAAACAAAAAAGCTGGGTGTCAAATTAGCCAACAATTACTCGCGACTTCTGCCCGTTAGACAATACGATCTTCCGATGCAACACTTAGGCGGAAGTAGTTATTGGTTCTTTGTTCGGCTGCCTAGATGCCTCGTCAGCATGCAGCGCGTAGCGTCAACATCCCCATCATGATCCAATCACCAGCCAAAGCCCTCCACCAGCTGATGGCTAGGCGATGATGAACATGGCCGCCATCAACAATACTCTGCCATTACTGCCTGGATGGGTTATTTATTTATTCCACGCTGCGCGAGTTCAAGGCAGCAGCGGCGTTCACGACAATTCATTTTGCAAAACCGGATGTAAACCCTCCGTATCACCATTCCGTGTGGTCTCTGCCTCAACATGCCTCAAGTAACCAAACCGGAGGCTGGCACGTCGCTGATTGAGGGGCTTCCGACTGAGATTCTCCTTCGCATTGTCGATAACTGCACTTGGGAGACAACATCCTCTGGACGCGCCCCCAAAACAATTGTGCCTCACAGGACATCTCATTCCAGACTGTGCCGCACCAGCCGCCATCTGCACGAGACCCTTAATCGCGAGCTCTACGTGCGGAACCTGAAGCACGACAAACCAGGTGCTTCGTGCGTGCTGTGGGCTGCCCGTGTCGGGAGGCTCGAGACAGTGATCAGAGCCCGCCAGTACGGGGTAGATCTGGACACTGGGCTTATTCCATTCAGCCAGAATGGCCAGCAAGAAGATTTGAGCAGTTACGAACCTCCTTTCCTTCGTGCTAGCCGCCATCACCAGGCAAACATCATCGAATACCTGCTGAGGAACGGGGTCAACAGTCACGTGGATCGTGATGGTAAAAACGCCCTTCATCTCGCCTGTATTGGTGTGTGGAAAGAAAACCAGAACACGCTGCGTGTCGTGCAACGTCTCATCGCCGCCGGGGGCTCCGTTGAGGAACTTAATACCAACGGCCGCTCACCCCTGGGACATGTGTTGAAGCACCAGAACTGGTCAACAGCCTTGATGTATGTTAGGGCTGGGGGGAACTTGGCCCACTGGAGAGCAGCGCCTCCCAATAATGATGTGCTGAGGCCATCTCTGACGATACTCCATGCGTGCCTGGTGCAAAAGAAGCAACGGCCCTCTGAGAGGACGTTGAGCCTCCAGAGAGAGTTCATTGCCGAGCTCCTCGACCGTGGAGTAGATGTCAATAGCGACCGCTACACTATCCCACAAGGCACAGAGATTCTCATCGGAGCACCGCCGTTATTTTACGCCGCCGCATTTTCTGATAATCCTGCCTGCACAAGCCTCCTTCTCGAGCGTGGCGCTACAATCCCCGACAAGGTGATGAGATGTAACCGACCCGAGGGGGCTGACCAGTGGCATGCGACACTCTACCTTGAGGAGCCTCGCGGCTGGTACACTCTGTTATCTGCGCTCTTCTTCAGCGAATGGGGTGATCAGTACCGCAGGATCAGCGACATATCCCGTGTGAGCGAGCAGGTAAAGATCCTCCTCCGGCACGGTGCTTGGCTCGGCTATGTGCCTGATCAGGATGCAAATCCACGAATGTCGGCGCTGGAATATGCGTGCATAGCTGCTGGTCATGGCAGAGAGACGTGCTTGCTAGATTTCTTGTTGGAGAATGCGACAGATGCAAACATCGACCGAGCGCATATCGATGAAATTCTTAGCCGCGAGAATAGGAGCAAGCACATGTCTGTTACCAAGAGACACCATCGGTCTCCAAAGCCAATTGCATGCCCTCGGTTTGAGGATGTGGTAGCCCCAAAGCTTCGAGAGTTCAGGCAGAGGCTCTTTCAGAGTGAGAAGGGAGATATTACAGGCACAGCGGAAATTTAGACCATGATGATTCATCTCGGAGACTTATTGGCTGGATTGCGGATGAACTTTGTTGACATTTCTGCCTCGGCCTGGGGGAGCGGACTTTGAAATGATTTTGCCAAGAAAAGCATTTGCAGAATAAGGCATAGCCTCGGAGAGTGGCAGTGGAGCAAGCCGCATAAGGGTTTGGCCGGTGTTTGGCCCAATATTGGTTCTGAACTACGGTGCTTCTTAGCAAGGAATATCATATCGAGCTACCCGATCATTGGAGCGAGGTACGAGATGGCCGGCGGACTTCAACTGAGTCGGGATGACTGCGACGACATTGGTTAGCAACGTTTTGGTATCATGATCTAACGAGCACTTACGGTGCTAAGTTGGTAATTTGAGGAAGACGACCAACACATGTATATATTACGGTGCCACCATTCTTTTGTGATTTCTCTTCTACTATGCAATTGACTAAGGCATCTATATCTCTTAGCTACCTCTCCTCAAAATGACGCCAACATGGACTCCGGACAACATGCCCGACTTGAAGGGCAAGGTGGTTGTTGTAACTGGCTCTAAGTGCGTGGCACACCTTCTCTGACGTAGGCTTTTCCCACACCGGACTGCTAACATTCATCTACCTGATAGTAAAGGGCTTGGTATTCATACGGTTAAACACCTTGCTAAACACGGAGCCAAAGTTTACTGTGGCGCCCGATCAAAAGAAAGATTCGACAAAGCTCAACAACAGCTCTTGGAAGAGGATACGAGCTTCCCTCTTGAGCGTCTCGTTTTCTTGAAATTAGACCTTGGGAATATCGATAGTGTGATGGATGCTGTGAAGGAAGTAAAGGCAAATGAAAGCAGCATCCATATTCTGAGTGTGTTGCCCTTGTTCATGCTTGAGCGTCCGTCGAATGCATTTCATATGGCTAATGAGTTTTTATGAGGCACATAGTAAACGGCGCAGGAATGGTTACAGGTCATTCCAGCAAGGAAAGTGAATGGGATGAGGTTATGACAGTCAAGTGAGTTTGTTTCTTTATCGTGAGACGTTTATTTCTAACCCAATACAAAGTTATATCGGACACTTTGTTCTCACAAACGGACTATTCCCCCTTTTGAAGGCAGCATGCGCGGAGAAGAATTCGGATGTTCGGGTAGTTTCGATTGCTTCCAACACACCTGGAATATTCCTACCCAAGAATTATGAGTTTGGCTTGACTACTCCCACCTGCTTTCACAAGGTCGTCCCATACTATCCTTGGCGGTGGCAATACTTTCACAGTCTAGTCTTCGGGATGGACATGGTCCACTACAGCATCGCCAAAGTAGCCACCACGTTGTTCATCAAGGGACTTCAACAGCGCATCGACGAGCATAACCTACCTATCCTCTGCCTTAGTCTGAATCCAGGGGGAGTGGCGACAGAGGGTGCAGAAGACATTCTGAAGCCGCTATTTCGGCCTCTTCTTCGACTTGGTCGATTGACACCGGATCAAGGATCATATCACTCTCTTTGGGCGGCTACAGCTAAGGAGCCTCGAGAGAGTCCTGCGGAATTCAAGGGGAATTATCTCGAGCCAGTTGGGGTCATCACAACGCAACACCCGGTAATGGATGATGAAAAACAACGCCAGGGACTTTGGGAAGTCACGACAACCGAGGTTAATAGGTACCTCGACTCTCGAGGCTTGGGATCTTTGCTAGAGTGGAAATGAGAGAAGGCAATGGAAATCTACTTCGCCTTCAGAATGATTTGGGCTGTTCAAAGATGGGAAGAACTAGGTCATACACAACTAGAATGTTCGCATAAATTTGTTTTTTTCGCCTCTACTGAGATAATCCATTGTGTGATGCAGCGAGAATAAGCTTTGGTATTGATAATTGACTACTTGGGACCTGCCCAACTCTTCTCTGAATGCTGGCTTTGGGCTAAGGTAATTACAGTATCAAAGGCGAGCCATGAGTCTAGCTCTGCCATCCCCGGTTGCGGGAGAGCTCATACCACCAGTTACGGAGCATCCATCCATCAAAGTCCGTGATGACGGAAGAAGACCCTGCGAGCATGATAAAGTTGGAGATACCGGTTGGTGTCCAGTCTATCGTCTGTTAGAAAAATGGAGTCCACGAAACGGGAAGAATCAGATTCTATACTCTGTGGAACACTTACCGTAGAAGTCGTCAAGACCAAAGGTGTGACCCATCTCATGGAGCAAGATATGAATGCTGTCAGAGCTGAGAGCACCCATAAAGTACTCGCGACCAATTCTCTGGCCCCAGTCACCACCAGCACCGCCATTGAAGCCATCGGTAAGCCACAGAGAGTTATCGTAGTGGGCTGCACTGCCACCAGGACATCCGTTGTAATTTCCATCTTGGTGGAAGAATCGGCCACATGCCTCGGCGCACTGAGGAATGCCGCCACTGTCTTTATCAGTGTAGACGGTAATACCAGAAGTTGACCCTTGCAGTAAGGAGGCATCCTTAACAGCCCAGCCAACGACGTTGACCTCGATGTTCGAATAAGGGAAGTTATCATAGCCATAGAGCCAGGAGAACCACTTTTGGTACGACTTGTTGACGGCGGTGGCAACTTGGGCACGTTGAGCCTCTGTCACTGCTGTCGAAGATTCCCATCGAACGCATACGTTGATTTTTCTATAGCTTTGTTAGTCCATGCTAGACACGGAGAAATTGCAGAATTTCATACCCGTTCGTGGCTTTGATTTGATCCCAGCCGTAGTTCTTAAAGCCAAAAAGGCCGTTTGAATAGGTGTTCAGACAGTGGTCCCAAACCTGCTTCAAAGGTGTCGCCAAGTTCGAAGGCGGGCTCCAGCCGCTCTGTCGCTTTGCCGGCCTGTTCCAGAGAGTAGTATCCCTGCTGGAAACCTCGGGCGCGTCCCTCGCGACTTTCCATTCTCCTGCATCTTGAGCATCCGAAATATCCAGGCCCAAGGCCAGAGGAGAAATGGACAATAAGGCAGAAAGGACTGAGACACGCATGGTGGGCCAGTAGTAGTGAGTACCAGGGAGTAGAGATGGCGTTAATGATGCTTCGCGTTGCCTGACTCTCTGAGCAGCGGCTTTGGTGGCTTTATATACGTCTTTCTGATCGGTGATTTACGAGGTGGATGTAGCGTTCTAGCCCTTAGCATCTAAATACAACCCTGTCTTGTAACTGTTTCACTCCAAGAAGCTAAGCACGATGTTCCAGTTCGAGAACACTCTCCTAATGGTGGGATTGGAGAGTGCACAGCAGTTCTATACGAGCTTCGTTCTGAATACCCTCTTTTTACTGAAATGGTAACTAAACGGGTTTCTGTTACAACAATTCACCACTGAGTAACCTGCATTGAGTCTCCAGGAGTGGATGGTCCGTCCTCAAATGCGGAAGGTAATAAAAGATCAACATTAAATGATGAAACAACTGCCGGGAGCCCCTGTGCGTTTCGGATAATTCTAACTTCAAATAGGCTCCTGTGGGCGTTTAACTCAATCCAGCTCGGATTAAAAGCATAGCTCCGTCTCGTGTTCAACGAGGTATGGTCATGCTTTTCCCATTGCCTGACATGACTTGCATAGGAGGACCACTTTCAGATAATGGATGACCTCATGCTGCCTCGTTCAAAATTTCCAGAAGAGGCACCGGGGTATCATCCGAGGATTTTCAAGGCGAGTCTCCGGGGTCCACCAGAGGAAACCCTGTCTGTCATCCGACTCTAAGGGGTAGACTTCAGTGTCGCTCGATCGTCCATATCAATTTGAAGGACTCCTAGCTAGCCTTATGTATTCAAGATAACGATCTAGATTCTTGTCAATCTTTCCCAATTCTGGCTGTATTAGCAGTCCGATGTACTTACGGGAAAATATGCTTCTTATCATTCCCTGTTAGACGGCTCCGTATGGAATTACCACCAATAGTTGAGAACATCATAGCAGGATTTATTAGGATGAAACTGTAGTATTATGCTGTTCCATATCTTGCAGCTTGGCCGGCTTTTTTATTCTCTTCCCAAAATTTTCACTCGTGATCAATCAAGATATGTACCTATAACTAGGTAGAAGAAGTAACGTCATTGTCACAGATTAGGCCACTAGGCAAAAGGAAAATCCTTGCCCAGTTTTCCACGGTTACCATTATATAGCGCGCCACAGTAATCTAAGACTAGAATAAAAAACAGAGAGTGAAATAAATTGCGACAGTATGCTCCTTGATAACAACATTGAACAATCTCAGATGCAACGAGGCTTCCACTACACCCTATTTCCTCCCCTTGCTGGCACTGATTAGCAACTAAAGAAACAATATTTTCGACGGGCCTTGCACCTTTTATACTTCTATTTGCACTCGAATACGGTACTGATCACGGAAATCAATCTTAGAGCTGGGTTTGTATAATTGGCCTTTCTTTGTACCCGCAAGTTTGAGTCTACCGTTTGTTGTAGTATCCGGCTTGATCGGAGAGCGACATCGACCCAGTGTATCGTCCTGTCTCCAGTTAGTCTAGGAATTGGGTTTGTCGAGGGCAATGGGTTGCCATAATATTTGAGGCTTGAGTATGCTACCGGCGGGCGGTGGTAAGCACAGCATAGCCTTCTTCTAAGACCATCTCCCGCATCTATGCAGCAGCCCTGGCCTTGAACCGAAAGCTGACTGTTCGGTATGGACGGCAAAAGATGGTGTTCATTGTCGTATGTCGGGTCTTAGGATCAGCTTGATAGCGCCGGGGTTTCAAAGAGCCCCGGTTGGAAGACTTAAAACGGCGATACGTGTGGTTGATGCTTTGCGTATGGTGCGGCCTATCTCTCGATAAGGTGCGATAGACGTCTTGGCAACGGACCAGGCGAGTTCCAGGCCTCCGTCCCCTGGCCGGTTTTCAAGGCTTAGAATACATGTACCGTAGTACTTGCCCATCCGCATAGGGCGTAGTTGACATTTTCGATGACCAAGCGCCTTGTGAAGTACAGGGCTTTCATCGGTCGTGCTTCTTTTGTTGGATTCCAATGTTTACAAACCTTTACCTCTCCGTGAGCGTATCAGTTCACGTCTGGACAGCAACGAAGTAAATCTGAACTGGCCAACGCGGGTAGAGGCCGTAGTAAATGGACAAGAATCTAGGCTACCTAAATCCCTATGGGTATAAGAAAAACAGCTGGGCGGCTGGGCAAGGCGTGGGTTGTATAGAATAGCCGTTCTACCCGCTCCGATCCGATGCCGAATACTATATTTTGCGGATGGCCAGCAGTATGACACATAAATCGCCGTATAAAGAGGCCACTACAGCTCGTCTTACTTACGATGTGTGCTGTATCAGGCTTCTCTAACCTTTGATTATAGTTTCCCTTTGTGCCTACCGCATTTGGCTGCCGATCTGTAAGATGGGAGCTGGAAGCCATCAAGAAAGAACTGGGCAAGAATGTACGCCACCGCTGCGCTCGGCCACACAAGCCATCCACGCCGACGATGACTTGGAGCGCTACGGTGCGGTAGCCGCGGCGATTTCCGTGTCTACGACCTTTCGTTTTCCCAGAGATGTGGAGGCCCTTCAAGCTAGAGCAGATCGTGATCCGAAGGCAAGTAAGCCCCAAAGCAGTTCACAAGACCTCGCTAACCCGCGATTTCAGGTGCCGGTTGATCTGAACTCGCACCACTACTCTCGAATAACAGCTCCCACCACCACGCGGTTGGAGGTCGTGCTTACCCAGATCATTGGACAGCCTTCCATCACGTATGCGTCTGGGCTGGCGGCGTTCCACGCCCTGATGATTATGCTGAACCCTAAGAAGATCTTCATGGACGATGTGTATCACGGATGCCAGAAAGTGGTGGACATCATGGCGAGGCTCACAGGGCTCGAGAAACACTCGCTGGACCAGCTTGAACGACTGGGCTCCCGAGATGTTCTTTACATTGAGACGCCTGCTAATCCCACTGGGGAGGCTTATGACCTTGGCTTCTACAAAGAGCGAGCCGCAGCGGCTGGCGCTTATCTGGTTGTTGACTCGACCTTTGGGCCGCCGCCATTGCAAGACCCTTTTGCATTCGGCGCTGATGTCGTGCTGCACAGTGGAACCAAGTATTTCGGAGGACACTCTGATATGCTATGTGGTATATTGTCTGTTAGTCAGTCCTACGTCGACCAAGGATGGCTGGACCAGCTTCGTGATGAGAGGTCAACAATAGGAAGTGTCATGGGAAGCTTGGAAGGGTGGTTGGGGCTTCGGTCAATACGGACGCTTCAGTTGCGAGTAGAGAGACAATCGGCCAATGCGGTCGCGCTCGTTTCCTGGCTGCACCTCTTGGCGCAGGATGAGGCATCCGTCGCCGCCAAGACCATTCTGCGGGTGACACATGCATCACTTCAAGAAGATGCGTTGGCAGCAGGCTGGCTGCAAAAGCAGATGCCTGGGGGATACGGGCCGGTGTTTTCCAAACTGTTCCATGAGGCCAATGATGCACGGCGTCTGCCGAGCTTCTTGCATCTTTTCAACCACGCAACAAGCCTGGGAGGCGTGGAGAGTTTGATTGAATGGCGCGCAATGACAGATGCTGGAGCGGATCGTAGGTTGGTGAGAGTAAGTATCGGAGTGGAAGACTTGCAGGACCTGCAGAATGACTTGCTGCAAGGGCTTGTTGCCCTCGTAGGATAGCCATGAATAGGTAGTTAGTTGATAAGCAAACCAAGGACTGGTATCCTATCAACGGGCTGGAATGATGTATCAAAGGCTTATAGGCATACGAGTTCTAGTACCATTAGACTAGGCGGAATTAACAGCAAACGCCTTCGTAAAAGCAACATGGGCGAATGCGGAGAGCTATGGAGTTGAAATTCGGGCTATATTACGGAGTTAAGGACATGTTGTCAGAAGACACTATGTAAGAGGATCCTTTCAAACTGGAAGAAAGCTTGGTAGGGATTGAAAAGTACGAGACGATATTCATCGGATGACAAACCCTTCGATCTAAGCGTATTCGAGACGCTGCTGACCGCAGTAAGTCGGTAGGGTAATGTATTGAGGTGCATTCAATTTGCAGGTTGCCATTGAATCACGAGCTCTGGTTATCCCCGGTTAGGGGATTGCTGACTGGCTTCGTAGCACATCACTAACCCCGTGATAGTAATGCACTTTACTGTTGTCAGCATCATTTCCTATAGGAGGCTACATGCGCGGGATGTGATGACAAGTGACCTGATTACTCAACCTGGATCCCACATTGAAGGGTACCATCCACGTTGTGATGCTCTCATACGCCAAACGCGCGCCGAAACGAATACGCCAAACGCACACCGAAGGAGTCGCAGTTCACGTCACGAAGATGAAAGAAGTCAATACGAAAGAGAGATATATGATGAGCGGTGAAGAATTGAATATAAATTAAAAAAACTGTTCCTACTAATAATCAGGCTAAAACAGAAGAAGCAGCTAAATATTCGCAGCAACTCGAAGCCCAGAATAACAGCACACATGATGAACACTTTTCTCCAGCTCGCCTCGCTCGGGGCTCTGGCCTTGATTCCAACCGTGGCATGTGAAACCAATACAAATACAAAGCTATGCGTCGAACTCGAGGTTCCCGTCCCCGTCAATGCGACCAACCAGCTCTTTGACCAGCCCCGAGTTGACAGCACCATCGACGCCATCGACTGGACTGTGTGGGTTTCCACACGGACTACTCCCCCAGCTAGGGACCGTGTCATTCGTAATATTACTATCAGCGAGACATTCAAGATCAATGCCCAGCTGTGCGTCACATCGGACAAGGGCCCCAAAGCGGATATTTTGCAGATTGCCACCCCAGGTCTTGGCTTTGATAAACGGTCAGTGATCAATTTGCGAGTAAATCAAAGAGCGAAATAAACACTAATATATTTTTCGAATATAGATACTTTGACGCGGAGCTTCAACCCGACGAGTACTCTTACGTTAATGCTGCCCTGAAGAAGGGTTACTCGATCCTTACCTACGACCGACTCGGCACTGGCAAATCCCAAAAACCAGACGCCTACGAGATAGTTCAGATCCCAACGGAGGTTGAGATCTTGGCGAGCCTGACAAAGATTGCACGTAGTGGAAAGCTGATCAGCTCATCCAAGGTGCTGTCCACCGGCTCCAGAACCACCGTTTCTGACTTCGTGCCCTCCAAGGTTGTCCAAATTGGGTACTCTTTCGGCTCGTTCCTCATTCAAAATGTGCTTGGTCGATATCCTGATCTCGCCGATGGCGCCGTACTGACAGCCCTTTACCCCAATACTATTCCGTTTGATAAGATGATTGACGTCTTGCACTACGACCACGAGTTTCCCAAGGAGAATGACCCCGCCCGTTTTAGTGAATACGGCTCGGGCTACTTTGTCCTTTCAAACGAGGCCGATCTTCAGAAGTTGTTCTTTCAGAAGAGAAGTTTGGACCCAGCACTGTTGACCTATACCGAAAAGATCAAGCAACCGGAGACTTTGGGTGAGTATGCCTCTGAAGGGTTGAGTTCATACGTGGTCGCGGATGGTTTCAAGGGCCCAGTTCAGGTGAGTTTCTTCAATAAAGGCGGTGCATCCCCTGATCGAGTTGAATGAAAACAACTAACGAGTCTTCTCTTACGCAGTTCTTCATTGGCGAGTTTGACAATTTTGTCTGCAGAGGCGACTGCAGGGACATCTACGATCAGACGGAAGCGGACAGGATCTTCCCTCACTCAAACCCCACTTACTATCTGCAGCCCAACACTGGTCACGCGCCGGGACTGTCGAAGAATGCGTCTGCTGGATATGAGGTTATGCTTCAGTTCTTGAATTCTCATAGCCTCTAAGCTGCGCAAGGGGGTACCATAGATCTCGCTCAGTGTTATCAGACTGGCTTCTACGTGGTACTTCGACACAACCCATAAGCTGGGGAACGCTGTATCAGGACCTACTTCTGAAACAGTCTATCTAACATGGCCTTATAGTTTACCTTCTATTCTGGAATCTAAATAGACTTTATGTCTGGGTCTCAATTTCGTTATGTAGCCCGCCTATTGCAAGTAAAAATGTGCCTAAGTCATTATATAACAGTTTGAGAAACCCATTCATCTAGTCAATCAAGGATTTAACTCTTTTAACTAAGCATAGAAAGCCCGTTGTGATTTTTAGACATTTCGTATCGTGAACCTGTCGAGATTCTGTCGTAAATAACGCAGGCTCGGTGGCTGCGACTTCGTCACTAAGCTCACTAAAACGGACCATTCCATGCCCTGTAAATACCTACCGTCAGGGGGTTAGATAAGTTCAATCAGGAAGCGGAGGCAGTGGCTCCGTCTGACCAAGGCCATTCTCCTGGAAGCCTTCACGCTGAATCGAGTTCACATTGCTAGGTCGGTCCATGATAGTTTCGAAATGTAATCATCCTTTATTTTACCCTATCCGTATTGCTACCTATGTATATCTTCTATCATGAGCGTGTGGTGTCAGCCTCAAGACGTCACCATCTCCGCTCTCCATCCCAAAATCGTACAACATTCTGATTCCCTGCTCTGCAATGATTTCGCCCGTATGAAACCCCAAATAAAACAAAGAAAAATCAAGGAAAAGAGGTCTGAAATTCCCCCGCGGGTGCCGGAGCACTTCTTTTCTCATACATAATCGGCTCGTCGGCGGGCCGGGGGAGCAAGACGCGACCGACAGATCGACAGCCTCCGGATTGCGGCACGTAGGAACATGGACGGTGCAGCAATTGGCATCAATCATTAAAGGTTCATATTTCTATCTCATTATTAACAGACCGCCCAGAGCCTGCCCTTATGTATATGGGCTTGTTTTAGGGAAAACAAATGCTTCCTCACCAAATCAGTGACATGCTCTCGATAACCTTCTCCAGTGCTGCCAGCAGTGTGGGGACTGTGAAAAATGCAGTTAGTATACCATCGCAAAAAATGAGAAGTTGTAGTATGGAAGAAACGTACTGTGAGACTCCTCGAAGATGAGCATGGGTCGGAGGCGGACGGTGTTGACACCGCAGGTGCCGATGTTGACGAAGAGCTTCTTCATCGACTTGACGAGTGTGGCCGAGTCGACGGTGTCGAAGGCGATGTATGTGCTGGAAAAGTTGTTAGCAAAAATCAACAGATAGAAAGCATGGCAGCGTAGATGACTCACCCTTGACCCTTGCCTCGCAGGTTCTTGATGTACTCGGGGTACTTGGCGGCGAGCTTCTCGAGCTCGGCGTAGAGGACCTCGCCGACGCGGGCGGTCTGCTCGACGAGCTTCTTGTCGAGAATCTCACGAACGACAGCGCCGCTCATGATGACACGGGCTGGGTCGCCGATCCAGGTGTTGAACTGGCGGTAGGCCTTGTCGGGGACTAGCTGGCGGTCGCCAAAGAAGTAGCCGGCCGTCTGGGCCTTCTTGGAGAAGGTGACGATGTCGGGAGGGGAGGTGAGGTTCCAGTGGGCGTGGCCCCAGAACTTGCCGGTGGCGCCGAAGCCGGTCTGGACCTCGTCGACGATGAAGGTGACGCCGTGCTTCTTGGTCAGGTCGCGGAGGCCCTGGAAGAATGCGGGGGAGGCGTGGTTGTCACCGCCCTCGCTCTGGATGGGCTCGACGATGAGGGCGACGACGGGGAAGCGCCACGAGGTGATGAGCTTCTCGACCTCGTCGAGGGAGCGCTTCTCCTCGGCGGCGTTCTCCTCGACGTGCTTCTCGAGGGGGTACTTGAGGGCGGGGAAGGTGGCCTTGGGCCAGTCGAAGGAGGGGATGTCGAGCTTGTGGACGGCCTTGGAGCGGGTGGTGGAGAGGGAGCCGAAGCCGCGGCCGTGGAAGGAGTTGGCGAAGGAGAGGACGGCGAGGTCGGGGGAGCCGGGCTTGGAGTTCTCGATGCAGGAGGAAGTCTCCTCGTGCGTCCAGTCGACGCCCTCACCACGCTCCTTGCGGCGGTGCAGCATCATGGCGGCCTTGAAGGCCAGCTCGTTGGCCTCGGATCCTGACTGGGCTGTGAAGATCTTGTCGAGTCCCTCGGGGTGGATGCGGAGGAGACCGTTCTTGAGGATGTCGTGCCATTGGCTGGAGGGGAAGTTGCCGACGGCAGGGCGGTTGACCAGAGCAGAGATCATCTCGGGCGACTTGGCAGCCTCGATGAGGGCGGGGTTGTTGTAGCCCACGGGGATGGAGGCGATCTGGGAGTAGACATCGAGGAACTTGTTGCCGTCGACATCGACGATGCTGTTGGAAGATGGTTAGCTCCATTCGACTCAGATCATATTTAGAGGATGCATACTAGTTGCCCTCGCTCTTGTCGTAGTCGGCGACGAAGTAGACGGCACGCGAGTCCCAGACAGAGTCGAGCTGCTTGGCGGCGGCCTTGGACAGAGGTCCGGGGATCTCGGCCACGACCGAGGACTCGATGATGGCAGGCATGTTGACTGTGCTTGTTCGAGAGAGAAAACGAGACTATCTGGGTATCAAAGAATGCAAAAGGAAAGGTTCTCTCGAGCTTGCAGTCAATGGATTGTCATGAGGGGAAGAGGAAACCCTTCACCATCGAGGTGGACGGGCTTCTTAAATCATCGCTGACGGAGCCTCCCCCCCACGTTGGCTAGCCCAAGCCACCGAATGTCCCCCGAGCGTGTGTTTGTCAGGCCCAACGGCTACCCCGTGAGTGAGTGGCAGATGGAGAGCGTGTATGCGGTCTCATGCCGGTCGGCGAGCGCAACCGGCCCAGAGCCTGATCTGCAAGCCAGCCAGAGACTGCTGGCTGTGGTTGGCCCAGAACGAACTACCCGTTCCCGCCCTCGTCACATGCCATGGCACGCCTTGCCCCTTGCTTTTTTTCTCCAGATTGGCCCAAAAACTAGCCAATTCCAGGATCGGTGCTGGGTCTCGGTGCGCCCCTCAGCCAGAGCAGCGACGAGCGATCACGGCTTGGACCCACGCGGCTCGCCTTCAGTCCCGGGCCGGTCTCATCTCAGGCGGCTTGGATTCATTACATACTCTGTGGCTGGATTCGACAGCAATCAGTGAATCAATCCATCAGAATTGCGATGCCGGCCTCTAGCTGGCCGTCCCCTCGTCCAGCCAAGCTGCCCCGTGGTGCTAGCCTTGCTTATCGCTCGGTCTGGAGAGAATCCTCATCACAGAGCACGCCGTTCTCGCGTCACTCATCCGGCCTGATAAGCGGATGAGTGCCCTCCTCGATGCTCAGCGGGTGTGCCGGTTTTGAACCTACTAAGTGCCGTAGTCTCAATCGCAGCTGTATAAGAAGAAACATGGAGCGCCAGCCGGTGTGATGCATTGCAGTCGTGTCCGAGCCCAACGTGAATGCCCAGATCTCATCCTCCCTGCTCCCAAACAGGACTCGTACAGGCCAGAGACCAGGATCAGACACCGAGTTCGGTCAATACCCCAACAAAATGGCGATTCAGGTGCGCCTCCCCATCTCAACCTTGCTGCACTGCAACCCCGATGGGCGGTTCGTGGGCTAACAACGTGTTCGTTCCAGCTCAGTGATACCTCCCTCTTGAGGACCGAATGCTACGTAGACGGGAAATGGGTTTCCGCCCAGTCCGGCAAGGTCTTCTCAGTCGAGAGTAAGCCCTGTCGCTCCGTGATGTAATCCCATGCAGCTGTCAACATAATTAACACGATGTTCGCTTCCAGACCCATCCACCACGGCTGAGGTCGCTGTGTGCCCTGAGTTCGACGTCGCCGACACCGAAGCCGCCATTGTGGTTGCCCAAAATGCCTTCAAGACCTACCGCAAGACCACCCCGCGGGCACGTTCAAAGCTTCTGCGTCGCTGGTACGACCTGATGATGGAGAATGTCGATGATCTCGCTCGCATCATCACCGCCGAGAACGGCAAGCCGCTGGCAGACGCCGTGACCGAGGTCAAGTACGCAGCCTCGTTCCTCGAGTGGTTCTCGGAGGAGGCTCCGCGCATCTACGGCGACACCATCCAGGCGAGCAACCCAGACTGCCGGCTCGTCACTATCAAGGAGCCGGTGGGTGTCTGTGGCCTGATTGCTCCGTGGAACTTCCCAGCTGCCATGATCACCCGCAAGGCAGGTCCTGCTCTCGCCGCCGGGTGCACGACCGTCATTAAGGCCCCGGCTGAGGCACCTTTCTCGGCGCTGGCTCTCGCAGAGCTTGCTCATCGAGCTGGAATTCCTGCAGGTGTCGTTAACGTCATCACTGCCTTGGACAACACACCCGCGGTTGGCCTGTCCATGACGACGCATCCGTTCATCAAGAAGGTCTCGTTCACTGGATCTACACCGGTCGGCAAGCTGTTGATGAAGCAGTGCTCCTCCACGCTCAAGAAGCTCTCATTCGAACTCGGCGGAAACGCCCCATTCATCGTTTTCGAGGATGCCGACCTCGACGTCGCAGTCCGTGGCCTCGTCGCGTCCAAGTTCAGAATCACAGGCCAGACCTGCGTGTGCGCGAACCGCATCCTGGTCCACCGCAGCGTGTACGACGCCTTCATCCAAAAGGTCCTCGATGTTGTCCGCACATTCCAGATCGGCGACGGGCTCGGCGAGAAGACCACACACGGTCCCTTGATCCACGGCCGCGCCGTCGCCAAGGTCCATGAGCACGTCCAGGACGCCGTCTCCAAGGGCGCGCGCCTCCTCCACGGCGGCCAGCCTCTTACCCACCTCGGCCCCAACTTCTTCGACATCACCGTCCTCGCCGACATGAAGCCTGGAATGAAGGTCTGCACCGAGGAGACGTTCGGCCCGGTCGCGGCTTTCTTCGCCTTTGACACGGAGCAGGAGGCCATTGATTTGGCCAACGACTCTGACGTCGGTCTTGCGGGCTATTTCTTCAGCAAGAA